ATGATCCCCAAAGGGGTTGCGAGGACCTAAGGGCAGAGTTAAGCAGCCATTTGTGGGCATTTGTGAATATAACCAGCCATGTTAGTGGGGTCTCACTCACTTGGCTCATGCTCTTGGCCAGGCAGGTTTGGTCTCAGCAGGTCACTTGGGATTCCAGGTCGGCAGAAAGGGTAGGACGCATTTAAGAATTTATCTCCCTCGGGCCTCCCCGGTGGCGCAGCGGTTGAGCGCTGGGTTGCGAAGCTAACCGGCCTCTGCAGCGCCAGTTCGATCCCCGGCTGCTCCCCGGCCACCGGAGGAGGGTCCCACATGGCGCGCAGACCTCTCCTGCCGCCCGCTGCTCCCCTCAGCAGTGCACTTCAGTCCTTCTGCCTGCTCTGCTCCCCGCTCTGGCTCTGGTGAATTCTCTCACCCTCCTGCGCTTCTGACTGTACCCAGTGCATGTATAAACAAAACAAACAAACAAACAAATAAATAAATAACATGCCTCTATAAAAAAAAAAAATTATCTCCCTCTTTTCTCCCTGAGTTGTACATTTCCTCATTTCCTCTTCCCTTGTAAATAAACCTTTTGTTAACCTTTTGTGTGCGCCTGCGGTGTAAGTCCCCTTTAAGTGCATGGGTGAAGACCCACAGTCAGGCAACCTGTTTTAGAGCGGGGCTGCCCTGTAGCATCTGGTCCACCCATGTCTGTCTCTGCTTTCTTCCATCTTTGCATCAGGAAGACAAGTCACACAGGCAAAAGAGGAACGACGAGCATGTGGAAAGTGTCCTGGAGGTCCACGGGTACTTATTGAGTGTCCTCTTGAGTGCAAGCAAATATGGTGAACATTCAGGAAGGAAAAGGACACTCCCCTCCAAGGAAGGTTGAGCCCCTACAGGATGGGAAGTTTCTAAAATGGCGTCATATCATGGAAAGCCTTGGACATCTTGCTAAAGGATTTAGGTTTTAAACTGTGGGCCGAGGAGGGCTGCTAAGTGATGCATGCATGTACACACTGAGCTGAGCTGTGCTTTGGGGAGATTGTAACCACTGGATACTAGAAACATCTTGGTCCCATGTTTGGAGTAAGTTCAACTCATAAAAGTAGGCAAACAGGGTAATTTCTTTCTTAAACATACATCCTTCCTTACGCTTTCCCATACGTATATTCCAAATGAACTTCATTCTACTATTAAACTATAGAAGTGATCTGTGAAAGTATGGTCTTTGAACCTCATTTTATTACAATATTCTGGAAAATAAATTCTGCAGTAATAGATAAGAATAGGAACACTTTTAGGTAGCATTTTCCTTAGGAATAAATCAGTTTAGTTGTTACTTAACATCCTTGGAGCAATCACCATGGATGGAAACTTTGGGCTTGTTTGCTTAACTTTAAGGACCTTTAAGATGCAACTGTAACAGGGTGGTCCCCAGGAAAAAGGGGAAGTTCCAGTTCCCTGCCCCACCTAAGGAGGGTGGAGCTAAAGAGAAGACAAGAAGTTGCAGAAGAGACTGAGGAAGGAAGGAAGCAGGATGGAGAGCCAGAAGGAGACCTGGAGGAGGCACATGGAGCCTAGAGACACGTGAAGAAACTGCGCTTGCCTTTTGGTCGTGGACTGGTTGAAAGAGATGCAGGTGAGAGACCGGTGGGGAGGTTAACAATGGCAGCCTGTATCTTGATTTAGATTTTGCTCTTTTCCTCTCAGACTTGTCTGGCTGTTCCTGACCCTTTTCTGTGGGTCCCCACTGGAAGGTGCTTTAGACTTGTGGCAGGCTTTGGGGCCTTACTCTGGGCCACTCCCGTTTGGGTGGACTTCTACCCACGAGGGGACGGGTCACTTTGGGTGCTTGATTTAGAAACTAGATTCTTTGCCTTTCCTGTATTGTTTCCTAATTGTATTAAAGTTCCTTCCCATTAAAGTCTCATATGTTTTGTGTTGATGTGGTGGATGGCAGTTAGAGCAGGCAGGTTGGTGGGGCCTGGGCTGCCCCTCTTCCCTGCCCTGTAACACAACTAGAACAAGCTAGGCAAAGACAAGTCCTAATAAAATGTTGAGCATCCCATGAGCCCTATCATGGACACCTCTGTCAAGCAGAAGTCATTGGTCCTTACAGCTTGCAAGTGGGAGGGTCTGACAGGATGCAATGTCTTCAAAACATGTTTGTCAAAGGACTTGGCCACTGAATTTCTAACACTGAATTTCCACATGGACTCATGTTTTCAAAAGGAAAAAAATTGTTTATCATATATACCTCAATAACAACAGTAAAAGATACTAAAATGATCTGTTACGTTATGTAATGACACCACAGATGTACACAAATTCACCTCTTATTACACAACATGTGATTTCCCCATGAGGAGATCGTGGATGTGCAAAAAGACAGACCTGGAACCTCCAGGCCTTTACTCTAGAACTGCTCACTGCACTCCCACAGGGTCCCTCTCACCCCCCACCTGTGAGGTTGCAGGGCTCCAGCCTGCAAATCAAAGCACATTAATGAAAGTGAGGGGAACCCCTCAGGACAGCCAGAGGAGCTGGCGCGAGGCTAGCAGGGAGACGCGCACATGTTCCTGAGTGGGTGGTCTTCCCGAGGTTATCGCTCACCCACTCTCACCTGCACGCTTGCTTTATATGGTGAAAATCTTGTATACTTCTTTGAGTAAATTCCATCCTGCATTTATGGACTCTCAAGAAGCACCTCCCCAGAATCCTGGGGCCTCCAGGAACCCAGCTGGAAGCCACCAGACCAATGTTTATCATGCTCAGCTCTAAGTAAGATTGTTTCTTCTGTGAGCTACCTTTCTTTGCTGCCCACTGTAAAATACACCTATGCAACATGTATGCTTTTGCTTAAGCTGAAAAGAAATCAATGCTATAAAGGACTCCGGACCCTGTGAACCCCGTGGGTCTTGCCCTGGGGACTTTAGTCCCCTGCCCTTTACTCTCTCCTGGAACCTGAATAATTGCTCACACTTATGGGCAGTGCTTCAGGAAGTGATGGTCACCTCCACTCCACCAGCCTCTCTGATATGCAGGCGGGTGGTGTAGGAGCCAGTGACCCCACTGAGATAGTGACCCCGTCTGAGGGGTCTGTGGGATAACAGAATGTTCTCAGGAAAAGTTGTAGGACACTGAGCATTGTTGCAAAGAGGCCAGGTGAGTCCCTGGGAAGTTTTCTTAAAAGGGGTGGAAAGAGCAGCCAACAGGGTCAGGAAGCCCCGTACACCACTAGGACGTCTCTGGCATCACCCAGGAGCATCGTCTCCATCAAAGTTTCAGCCCATAGTCATCGGCGCAGCCAGTAAAGGAAGGTCAAAGATCCAAAGCCCTTCCCCCACTCCGCCCCCGCCACCTCCCCTGGCAGGCGCCCACCTGACGTTTCAGCTCCCAGATTATCACCGTCACTGTGACCACCTGGAAACCTGCCGTAGCCTCCAGCTATGCAGCATCCAAAGCAGAGACTGGCATGAGTACTTCATGAACAGAAAGCCCAGAAGTTCTCAGGGACTGGGGGTCACGGTCTCCAGACACAGGAAGCTCAAAAACAAGGTATTCTTTCATGGCACATATCAAAAAAAAAAAAAAACAAGCAACAACAAATGTTGGTGAGGATGTGGTGATAAAGGAACTCTTCTACATTGCTGGTGGGAGTGCAAACTGGTCCAACCACTATGGAGAGCTGTCTAGAGGTTCCTCAACCTACTAAAAATGGAGCTACCATATGACCCAGCAATTTCACTCCTAGGGATCTACCCAAAGGACACAAAAACAGTGATTCAAAAGAGCACCTGCCCCCCTATGTTTATTGCAGCACTATTTACAATAGGTAAAACCTGGAAACAACCCAAATGCCCCAAAATAGATGACTGCATCAAGAAGATGTGGTGTATATATACACAATGGAACATTATTCAGCAATCAAAAAAGATAAACTCATGCCATTCATAGCAACATGGATGGAGCTAGAAGGAATTATGCCCAGCAAAACAAGCCAGAAGGAAAAAGAAAAATATCAGATGGTTTCACTTATAGCAGGAATATAGGGGAACCAAATAAGACATCAGAGTAAAAAAATAATAACAGTACAAAACACAACAAAGCAAAACCAGACAATTATGACAATCAGAGACATCCTGCAGGGGAGGAGGCGGGAGAGGGATCAGAGGGAGGGAGGAGCACAGGGGGCTGAGGTGATGGTGCACGGGGGCCTTGGGAAAGGAAACTCTGTGGGGACTACACCTGAGGGGGTGGGGGGAAGCAAAATGAACAATGTTTGTTTAAAAATGAACAATGATGTAAAAAATAAAAAAATAATATCAAAAATTAAAAATAAATAAAAGTGAAAAGACAAAAAAAACAAGCTATTCTTTCAAGGTTCCTCTTGTTCTCCTACCTTTCAGCATGTTTGATATTTATTTTGAAAAGGGATGAGTCCTCTGAGAATGGGATAGTGCTTCTATCTTCGTTGATTTGATAACATAATTTAATGATTTAATTTCCCAACCACAAGTTTGAACATTGGGAAGGTACCATTTTGCTATCCTCTTAATAGACATAGAGTTAGCAGACAGACATGTGAATCCTTCTGTTGACCCTCCCTTCTCTAACAGACCCTGTCCCCAACTACTATAAACCTAGAATCTCAGGTTAGAAAATAACTTAGCAGTTTCCTTGTCCAGATCCCCACTTGACACTTGAGACTCCTGAAAAAAACGGTCACCTCTGTTTGAACCTCCACTACCCACCAGAGCCCTGGGGACAGTTACTTCCTAGGTACTTCATTCCTTCTTGAGACAGAACTTTAGTGTTTCCCCTATGTGAATCAAATACAGATTTACCTTCCCAAGGCCGCCATTCCCAAATCCAAAATGTTCTGAAATCCAAAAACATTTTTGGACAGCAAAATGCTTTTTTGCTGACAGCAAACCCTAACCTCCTGTGTATTGATTAAAAATAATTAATCTAAATAATCATCCTTTATCCACATGAATATCCTATTCCCCAATTACCTTCTCCCTGATGGATTAGCATCTTTTGATGGGCCTTCCCTGAGTCAACTATTGCATTAGGCATTCCAAAATGATGATTTTTAAAAGTTATGTCAGGTCTGCTTCATAGAGACAATTACTGCACTCATTTAAGTCAATGGATTCACACTTGGATGGTCTTCATCGGCTCTGTGGCAGTGTTTTCCTCGTGAGTATTCTCCAATTGTTGGGAATTTTTGCTATTCTTTTACTGTATCGTGGATTTCATTTGATGCTGTGTGTTACTCTATTGAATAGGCGAGTCACTCCTGCACAGGCCCGGGCTTCCAAGCAGCTTCTCCCACTGCCATCACCACAGACATGGCTACCACCTGCAACTACTCTCATGGAGACTCCGCACAGCCCCCGTGGAGGGGTAAAGATGGCACAGCTTCCTCACTACTCTCCCCATTCAGAGGCGGAATCTGTTCCTCCCCTCCGTAGAATCTGGGGAGTCTTAGCAACCTATGTGACACATAGAATGTGGTGAAAGTCACATAGCGAGGTTTCCAAACCAGAGCACAGGAGTCTGGCAAGGTGGCGGCAGAGTGGAGATGCTGGGTTCCTCTCCTCCAAACATGGGCAACTAAACTGATGTAAAACAAAGCCAAGACCCTCTGTGGGGAAAACTGATTATCAGCATACACAATAGAAGCATCAGCCTAAAAGGAATGACTCTTGGTGAACTTTGTTTAAGGTAATAACGGAGCAGCCCAACCCATAAGAAGGAGAAGCAGCTGTAGTGCAGAGCCCCCTGGAGCTATTGGCTGGGGGTCCTAAGACCCAACATTGCACTGGATATGGGGGTGCACAAGCAGGCACCCAGGATGGCGTGGGCATTGCAGGAAAGCTGCATAGGTGAGGGCACGGAGCAAGGACTACGGCTTGAATCTGAGGCTCAGAACACAGAAAAATTATAACCTGAATCAGGTCAGAACATACAGTGCCCAGCACTGTGGCTGTCCTGCCTTTGAAGCCAGATCAACTCAAGCACCAAGAAGTTATCTTTTCTAAAGTCAGAGAGGCAACTGGAGCCATTCTCGCGAGAACATGCTGCTTTAGAATATCCTGCACCAGGGTCCGGGAAAACCATGCCAGGCAAAGAACGTGCTACAAGATCAAGACTGAAATACATTAGTGGGAGTGATTTAGCTTGAGAAGTGTGATCACCAATACCACGGAATCTGGCGAGCTGGCTGCTCCCAAGAGTACGCTGAAAATGCACCAACCGTGGCACAAATCCTAAAGGATTGGGGATTACAAAGTAGGAGCCAAAAGTTATGAATCAGGTGTTGGAGTTTGCCCTCTGATATATCATGCTGACCTCTCCTCTCCCAAAAGAATTTTCATTAGATAGTATAAGGCAAAGAACTCAAACCCCTTTGCCATTGATCAAGGCATAGTTAGGCCACAGCCAAATGATTTTCTCAACTGCTCCAAAGTATAGACTTGTCTTTATCAAAAAGGGCATCTTGGGTCTCCTCTCGTGGCACAGGTAGTTGAGCGCAGCACTGTGAAGCTATCCGCAACCTCTGCAGCACTGGTTTGATCCTGGCCAGACAGCAAGGGTCCCACATGGCGTGGCAGACCTCTCCTGTCTCGCCCGCTGCTCCCCTCAGCAGCATGTTTCAGTCAATCTGCCTGTTCTGTTCCCCGCTCTGTGTCTGGTGAATCCTCTCATCCTCCCTCGCATTTGGACTGTACCCCAGTTCTTGTATAAATATTTTTTAAAAATTAAAAAAAAGAGCATCTCCTTCTGCAGGAGGCAACAGCCCCCCACTAATGTTGGCTCAGTTGCTAACAGACCACGTGCTTCTACACCTCACACAACTACTATGTCTGATCCAGCTAAAATAGCACTTGGATGTCCCTTCCAGGCCAAAGGTTTACAGTAAATGCCCATATCACAGGCTCCAGCTGTAAAATCATCAATCCTACAATATCAGCAGCTCAGAATGTTCTTATTAATCCATCATTCATCGAGTCCAAAACCACTCTTATTACTGTAGACATGGTTTCAACAAAAATAAAGCCACTGAAGCATCAAATGCATTGAAGAGAGAATATGAAGCTGGTGGTGACAACAGTTGGGTCATTGAAGCCAGAATGGTTGTTCCTCCCATGGGCATGGAAGGGCACCTGCCCCTAGATGAGAAAAAACTAGGCACCAGTTAGTCAACAGGGAAAAAGAAGGGCTGGACAGAGGTTGGGGCAGGCCCTGGACAGGTTCATAGGCACAGAACACCTAGGGGGAATGCCAAGCTGGGGATGAAAGAGTGAAATTGGCCCTCTTGTCCACAAGCAGAAATTGGTCAGGGAGGAGAGCGAGTGGCATCAAGGAGGCAGCACAGGTCCAGAGTCAAGGAAGATTGAGCAAAAAAAAAAAGTCTGGACTGTTTCCCCTTTGGGCCACAGCCAGAGAAACAGCACAGCCAGTTGCATAATCCCACTATTTGCCAGAGCTACATTTTGTTCTGAAACCCTCTGCCCTGGGAGGTGATTGAAGAAGTCACTCAACAAGGACGAGGCAGGGAGAGGAGTCAGCAGGCGAGCTCAGGTGTGTGGGCCCGGCCGGCCGCCACCGCTCAGCAAGATGGAGGCCCTCAATGTGTCCAACCCGTACAACTTCACCCTGCCACCCAACTTCGGCAAGCGCCCCACCGACCTGGCCCTGAGCATCATCCTGGTAATCCTGCTGCTCATCATTATGCTCTCACTGGGCTGTACCATGGAGTTCAGCAAGATCAAGGCTCACTTCTGGAAGCCCAAAGGGCTGACCATTGCTCTGTTGGCCCAGTATGGCATCATGCCTCTCACTGCCTTTGTGCTAGGCAAGATCTTCCGGCTAAGCGACATAGAGGCGCTGGCCATCCTGATCTGTGGCTGCTCGCCAGGGGGGAACTTGTCCAACATCTTCAGTCTGGCCATGAAGGGAGACATGAATCTCAGGTAAGGCTGGAGGTGAGAAAGGAGCAGGATGGGGCCAGGTGCCGCCATGTTGGAGATGTCACAATCGAGAGGAAGAGCTGAGGCAAAGCCAGGAGGGGTGGGGGGGGGGTGTAGATGCTTACTTATGCGGGGCTGCAGGCCAGAGCTGGGGTGCATTTTGGTATAAACACTTAGCCAAAGGAGACAACCTACCTCAGGGCCATCCTTGAGACCCCTTGATCCCAGAAGCATCTCAGGACTGTCTTGAAGGAAGACTTACTTAACCCCAAGAGGCCGGCCTCTGGAGAACATTCCCTGCCTACCATGGTGGGCAAGCTGTCTGCTTTGGTGCCAGAGAGCTGAAAGGGGATGCAGTTGGTTCCAAACATCTTCAGGGAGGTCAAGGGGACTGGGAACCAAGTGAGCCCGTCTAGTTCCTGCAGCACAGGCTCATACAAGAGTCCCACCTTGAGCATACAGTGTTCTGCCACCTCACTGGGAGAAAACCCTTCCCTTCTATCAAATCTAAATCCTTCCTGTGGGAGAACAAGCCCTCGGGGTCTTCCATCCAGCCGACAGACTAGGCTCATTGCAGCCTCCGTGTCCTGAGAAACCCGATGTGTCTTGATCCTAGTGTAGAAGGAACACAGGACATTAGTATTGGGGTGGTGCTCTGAGGACTTTGTGGGTCTGTAGCAGCATCTGAGCTGGGTGGGACAACATAAGGGACAACAGGGGAGTTTTGAAGTGAGAAACCAGGTGTCCAGCCTCATCAGCTGCTGGATGCTAATGAGGTCTCCCCAAGTAATCGCTGTGCTTCTGAGGCTCTCTCTCCTACCAGTCAGACCGCAGTGATTCAGGAGAGGGGGCCTACGCTATTCCACTCAGCCTCCTCCCGGGCACCTGGGGACCGTCATTCATCCTAGACCTCACAAGAGAAAATGCTCTGCTGAGACAGTCCCCTACTGTATAAAACCCCTTCCCACAGACATATATTAACCCATGGCCCAGAGTCTCATGATCCCCCACCACAGCTGCCAGACTTGGAATGCAGCTTGAGTCCATCTGGGACAACTTATACTTGTATTGGAAGATCTTTGTCACTGTAATACACATAACAAGTTGTCCCAGATTGACACTGATAATTAAAAAAACAAAAAACAGAAACAAACCAGCAGGCCCTGCAACAAGTTCTTTACATGAGGCCCCCATACAGGAGGAGGTAGGGTGGGGGTGTATGCGGGAAGGTGGTACATCCCATTTTAGTGATGAAGAAACTGCGCCTCAGAGAGGTTAACACATTTGTTCAAGGTCAGGAGTTGGGGAGTGGTTCCAAAGTCTGTGTTTTCACGCAAATATCTTTAGGGCCAGGTACATATGCAAACCAACAAAGTGGCTGGAGTCTGATGCCTGCTTCAGAGGGGGCGCCCGCCCCCCAAGCCCTGCAGACACACACGCCATACAGCCCTGTGCTCTGTGGGAGTGGGGTCCCCAAACCCTGCCACAGCTTCCCGATTTTCAAGAGAAGTTAGAATCTCCCTTTCCATGTGCAATCTCCCGATTTTGAAATATTGGCAACCCATTCAAAAAATTTTGCAACCCTGTGCAAGTCAAACAATACATTCTGAAGGACCAGCTACAGCTGGGAGGTGCCAGGCAGTCTGAGCCCGGTCTTTAAGCAGAGCACTACTGTTTCCCATGGAGAATTGGGACAGGTCTAACACCCATTCCACTTTGCACATGAGGGAGCTGAAGTCCAGAGACTTGCCAGAGGTTCATAGAATTTGCCAGGGAAGTTGTGTTTGGAGCCAGTCCTGGGCTCTCTACCCCCACCCATTAGTCTCTGCTTCACAGGTGGAGACATAGAAGCAGCCTCCCTGACCAGCACTTGGGAACACTTTGGAGGCTGGGCCCTCAGATTGACCTCTCTAGGTAGCCAGGGAGGGCACCCCTTCCTCGAGATGCCACTAAACAAGTCCCCCAAACTGCAAGTGAGTCACATCCAGAGACATTGTGCAGTAAGTTTGCTTGTGGGAGACAGAGAAGAGCTCACCAGACGGAAATGGGCCCTTTGCCTTCCCTTGCAGCCCCTCCAGTTCATCTGCTCCCTAACCCCTCCTGGCCCACAGCAGAGACCAGAGACTCTGGCTGTAGGGACAACAGACTTGCAGGAAACCCAAGGATTCTCACAGATTCCCTGACTATGCCAGAGGAAGCCCAAGCAGGGTGAGATGGCAGCCATTCAGGTTCCTGAAGTTTCCCACTTCACCGTACTCTAACGGGGCCCCTCACAGCAAGCTCAGCTCCTGCCTTCAGTGCCTCCACTGACAGGGGTTCAAAATCCACCCTCCTTGGGCCTCCCCTGGTGGCGCAGGGGGTTGAGCGCTGGGCTGTAAAGCTGCCCGCAGCCTCTGCAGTGCCGGTTCAATCCTGGCCAGCCAGGGGCGGGGGTCCCACATGGCGCAGCAGACCTCTCCTGTCTCGCCCGCTGCTCCCCTCAGCAGTGTATTTCATCCGTCTGCCTGTTCTGCTCCCCGCTCTGTCTCTGGTGAATCCTCTCACCCTCCCGCGCATCTGGCCTGTACCCCGGTTCTTGTATAAGTAAATAAATCTTAAAAAAAAAAAAAAAATCCACCCTCCAGCCAGAGAGCAGATGTCCAAGACCAAGAGTATGCTGTGAGCCGAGAGCACAGTGGGCAGGAAAAATAGAAATGTAATGTGCTCCTTTTCCCCCGGGAGACAGCCAGGCCCGCAAAGTTCCTGTGGAATGGTTCCACCCGTGGAGCTGGCGAGCTGTCTCTCCAGGTAAACTGAGGGTTGCGATAGTCACAGATGCCAACAAGTTAGAAGGAGGGTGTCCCTGACCAGACCCCAGCATTTACACATGTGGAAGTGGCACCTGGAGGTGCCAGAGCATGGCTCCCACACAGAGCACAAGCACACCAAGTCCCAGAGCAAATTTCAAAACCCTTGACACACAAAGCCAAAGTAAGCACGACTCCACTGCTCAAGGACATCAAACACCAGCACACAAATCATGTCTCCTAAAGAGATCAATAATGTTTCTTCCCACAAACCTTTTCCCTTTACAAAACAGCAGTGGCAGCTCTCCTGCCCACCTGTGACTCCTCAGGCACCTCTCTTTCTCCTTTCTCTAATAAACCTGTCCTTTTCAAATGAACCAAGAGGGGCCTCCCTGGTGGCACAGGGGTTAAAGACAGCGCTATCAAGCCACCACGACACAGCGCTATTAAGCTGCCAGCCACTGTGGCCTGAGTTTGATTCCTGGCCAGGGAGCTGACCCACATGGCGCAGCAGACCTCTCCTGTCTGGCCCCCTGCACCCCTGAGCAGTGTGTTTCAGTAGATCCACCTGTTCTGCTCTCCACTCTGTCTCTGGGGAATGCTCTCACCCGCCTGCATCTCTGGCCTGCACCCAGTTCTTGTATACATATTTTTAAAAATGATCAAAGAAAAGAAAGAAAAAAGATGAATAATTAGCACCAAAGTCCCTCATAGGCACCTCCCAGATCTCATCCCCTTGTAATTTGGAGCTCAGCATTTCCACACATCACTACAAGTGCACGTGGCCGTCAACTAATGCACCGTTCTGTTTGTGTTCGAATTTTTACACGAGCAGCATCATACCACCTTATCATTTGACAGCTTCCTTTCCTGTGAGATAGGCACATAAAGACAATCGCTCCTTGTGCAGGAGAACTGGGGCATGCTTTTCTGCTTTTTGTCCATTCTGCTGCCAGGTCTTTGTGTGGGTTTCCCCTTCTGCTGCCATGAATGGCCTGTGCTTGTCCCCTGGGCCTGCAGGTGAACGTAGATAGTAAAAGCAGGACTGCTGAGGGGTGAGGTACACAAGTTTTCCACGAAGATGTCTCCAAGTATTTATTCTATTCACACTTCCCCTAATAGTAAGTGAAAGCCTCTGTTTCTCCATGTTTTACTCTATATTTGGAATTGTCAGACTTAATTTCTGCCATCAGGTGAGAGTGTAATGGTCACAGTGGTTTTGAGTTTGATATCAGAGGAAATACAGCAGCTTTTCCTAGGTTTTCTGGTCATTTGGGTATCCGTTTCTGGAAATACATCCTTTGCCTATTTATTGAGCTGCTGTATTTTTTCTTATTCATTTGTAAAGTTATAGTCTATGTATGTTGCAACAGTTTACTCACAGTTTGGAGTTTGTCATTACACTTTGATAATGATGTCTTATGTTACAGTGTGTTTATTTTCATTTAGTCAAATGTACCATGGAGGGGGGGCGGGTTTCTTTACTACCCTTGAGGTCATGAAGATATTCCCCTTTTTTTTAAAGTTTAAAGTTTTGCTTTTCACCTGGAAATCTTCAGTTCACCTAGAGCTTTATTTTTATGTTACATGATCTATCTTTATCTTTTCCATATGAATAGAGAAAATTCCCGGTGCCATTCAGGGGATTTTTTCCATTAATTTGTAATGTCATCTCCCCCATAGATCAAATTCACAAATATACATGGGTTCGTGTCTAGGTTATCTCTTCTCTTCTACTAATCTATGTGGTTACCTTTGTACCATTACCACATTTTTTTAATTGCAATGATTTTATAGTAGTCCTGATATCTGAAGGTAACCCCCCCCTAGTTTGTACTTCTTTTTTTGTTTGTTTTTAAAGATTTATTTATTTATGCATACAAGAACTGGGGTACAGGCCAGAGATGTGAGGGGTGAGAGGATTCACCAGAGACAGAGTAGGGAACAGAACAGGTGGATCTACTGAAATACACTGCTGAGGGGAGCAGTAGGCAAGACAGGAGAGGTCTGCTATGCCATGTGGGTTGCTCCCTGGCCGACTGAGGATCTAACTGGAGCTGCAGTGGCTGGTGATAGCTTGATAGCACTGTGTCTTTAACCCCTGCGCCACCAATGAGGCCCCTTAGTTCTTTCAATATGGAAAATATTCAATTTTTCTAAGTAATGAGAAATGTAGAACAGAGGAAATATTTTCATAGGTCACAGAATCCTTGTTTCCTAGGCAGATTACATTAAAGGTAAAGAAAAACCTTTGTTTTAATTTCTTGCCAAGAGCAAATCAATAATCTAAGAAAAAACTTTGTCCTTTTAACAGAGAAAATTAAATTCCCATTTTACATGTGTACTTTTTTTTTTTTTTTTTTTTTTTTTTTTTATAGAGGCATGCTTTTATTTATTTGTTTGCTGGTTTCTTTGTTTGTTTTGTTTATACATGCACTGGGTACAGTCAGAAGCGCGGGAGGGCGAGAGAACTCACCAGAGCCAGAGCGGGGAGCAGAGCAGGCAGAAGGACCGAAGTACACTGCTGAGGGGAGCAGCGGGCGGCAGGAGAGGTCTGCGCGCCATGTGGGACCCTCCTCCGGTGGCCGGGGAGCAGCCGGGGATCGAACCGGCGCCGCAGAGGCCGCGCGCAGCTTCGCAACCCAGCGCTCAACCGCTGCGCCACCGGGGAGGCCCTACATGTGTACTTTTAATATTAAAATTCTGCCTCTCCCTTTTTACTTATATGTTTTAATCTTAGTTTGACTACACATAAAGTTCATTTCTTAAGATTTCTTTTCTATAAACCTTATGAAATCTGAAGATTTCTTTTTCATCTTTTGTCTTATATTTTTTAATTCTGGAACAATCATTTTACTTTGGGGCAAAATTACTTTCCTTTCCCTCTTCCTAAAAAACTTAAGTACTTCCAATGCTTCCTTATCCCATAAAACCCACTATTTTCTTACTACTTTTTAAAGTTATTTTCTTCCATCCTTATTATTTCTACTAATTTTAACTATATATTAATTAGAATTATTAGTCCTTAGAATCCTTAATTTCTAATGAAAACTAAAGAGTAATAGTGGACTGACAAATTTACAAATTATATTTCATAATTTTTAGAAGTATATTCTTCTTCAATATAAATTTTCAATGTGGCACAAAACAAGTAACTTATAGACTCAAATGCCTTTTGCTGCTCTATAAAATTTAAAGAACCAAAAATAAATGAGCTTAAACTTATGCTTAATATTTAATGTTTATCTTAACTTGAAATAATTTAGATATTTAAAGGATGTATATCATGTAACTTATCTCAGTGTGACTTTAAGGTTTCAAGCTACCAAAAAGATTTTGGAAACTTATTTTTAAGTACACATAATATAAAGTATATTTATTGTTGAAAAGTCCATTTATAAACTTGTATCTTATAATCTCTTGATTTACTTATGCTTAAAAATTATGTTATTTTGTTTCTCATTAAAATTTCATAAGACAGTAAACAACTAATCATCTTGTTATCTTTCTTGTTGACAAAATTTGTAATATGAAGCTAGCATGAGCTTATTTGACTTTTAATACACCAAAGTAAACTGTACTATAATTGATGCTGATTATTGTAAGGACATGCTGCTTTAATTAAACCAACAAACTTAAATTAACTTTTACTTACTGAAGATCACCCCAGATCACGTGAACTTGAAGTACGTTTGGGTTAGTTTCTATATTTCTGAGTATAAACTTGCTTTACAGAAACATTTCATTTTCTTTAAGTTAGTTAAATAGAACTACTTACAAACTTATGTTGACAATATCATTCAGAGGTAGAAAAATATCATACAGCTGGACCTCCCTGGTGGCACAAGGGGTTAAGATGTGACCTATGAAGCTATCCACAGCTTTTACAGCACAAGTTCGATTCCCGGCCAGGGAGATGCCCATATGGTGCAGTAGACCTCTCCCGACTCGCTCGCTGCTCCCCTCAGCAGTGTGTTCGTGAATCCACCTGTTTTGTTCCCCACTCTGTCTCTGGTAAGTGTCCTCTCACTCCCCACACTTCTGACCTGTACCCTAGTTCTTGTATGCATAAAGAAATAAATCTTTAAAAAAAGAAAGAAAAATATCACACATCTAATAATCCAAGGAAGACGTCTCAGATTTTTTAAAATCTCCTTTCACTTGTTTATTTGCTTCAGTTAATTTAGAAATAGTATTGTGTAAAGAGACAACTTTAGAATCCTCAATATTGAAAAACCTGTAGGTTCCCACTAAAATAACAATCCCATTCAGCTTTTTTAGTTCTATTGCTGAGGTCTTCTGATTCACTCATTACTGAATGACTCTGACAAGCCACAACCCTTCTAGCCTCATTTCCTCCTTAGCAATAGGAAATAGCATGCTAACCTCCTAAGACTGCTGGCGAAGGTAAGCAAGCAATGTATGTAAAGAGCTTAGCGCAGTGCCTGGCACATGGTGGGTACTCAGCAAAATATAGTAATGGGTTCTCTATGTACACTAGACTCTATTTATACTCTCTATACTGTATCTTATAGTAACGGGTTCTCTCTGTGCTCTTCCTGTCTCCCACTCAGCATAGTGATGACCACCTGTTCCACCTTCTTTGCCCTGGGCATGATGCCCCTCCTCCTGTATATCTACACCAGGGGAATCTATGATGTGGACCTGAAGAGCAAGGTGCCCTATGGTGGCATTGTGCTATCAATGATCCTGGTTCTCCTTCCTTGCACCGTGGGGATCTTCCTCAATGCCAAACGGCCACAATACGTACGCTATGTCATTAAGGTAAGAACTGGGGCGCCGGCTGCCGGCAGCACCACCGCCATCTCAGTGTATGGCTTGACGCAAGTTATTGGGGCTTTTTGTGTCCATTTCCTGCCTTGTTTACAAAAAAATAGAAAAAGTCTACTATTTCACTTACTCTTACATCAGCTTCGTGGGATTGTAATGTGCATGAGAATATTTTTGAAAAGTTGGAGGGAAAAAGTGATATGCCACACACAGCTATGACCATTTTAATAATAAAATTATATTTGCATTATGTACTTACTAGATACTAAATTTTATGGTTTACACTTTCTGAGGATTCTATCCTCCAAGAGTCTGATATTTGCAGAAATGGAAGTAACGCAAGAGAAACAATACCCAAGGCGCATAGGATCAGGTATTAGCAGAATGCAGTGAAGGAAGCCTTCCTGGAGGGGGCGGGCTTGAGTAGGACCAGGAGGGAGGGTAGGATCTGGGTAAGCCAGAAAAGCCTGAGCTGAGTTGCTCAGAGGGAGCAAGGGCAAACCTGGCTGGCTGGACGAGCAGCTTAAGGAAAAGTGACCTGGGAAAGAGGGGGAGCATGCACTGCCGACATCTCGGGAGTGGGCTGGGAGGAAGAGTGGAGCCCCATGGGCACAGACAGGGCATCCTAGCACTGCCTTGCCCTCAGAAGAGTCACAGGCTGGGAACACAACCCAGGTTGCTCTGCCCACGGTATGGACCTTGGGGCTCAGCCGTTAGTCTCGCCATGACTCAGCGTTCCTCTCCCGGGGCTCGGACGCCATGCTCGTCCTCTGCAGCCACTCTGCCTCCTAGCACCTGACAGTCCGGGACAAGGAACCTGCACGTCAGCCTTTCAGGATTTATTTCCACACTATCCCTGTCAAGGGTAGGTTTGGCGCTTGCCCTGGTGTGGTCTTAAGACCCTCAAAAGCTGTTGGAAGACATGGAAAAGGCACTCCAGCTCCTGTGAACAGCCCATCATGCTCTGGACATCAGTTTCTGTTCTGTCTACAGGCTTCTCAGAAACTTTTCATGGCCGGGCCCCTAGCCCGCGCATCCTTCCTCTCTCACTCCCGTTCCTTAAATGACTCTGTACTGGCTCTTGGCTGTCCACATTGAGACAGGATCACAGCTCTGCCCTCACTAAACTCCATTCCCCCGCGCCCAACCCCTTTCCAGCCAACACCTGTTCCCTCCTGGTGCCCCAGGAAGGACCCCGCCCCCCTCCACTCACTTCCTCCAAGGCCTTCTGTTTACACCACCAGGGCTGCAAAGTGCAGTTTCCTCGACTGTTCAGCTCAGTCCCCATCGCAGAATCCCTCTCCTCACCTAGGTGTCTCGTCCACGCGTAATCTGCCACCATCTTCCCCACTTTCTTTGATAAATCCATTATTTCTCAATTCTTGACGTTTTAGCAGCTTTTGGTGTGGCTGACCAGTGAGTGGCTCCTTCTCAAAAGCCTTTGCCCTTAGCTTCAGTGACTGAGGCCTCCTGCTCCTCTAGCATCTCTCTGGCACTTCTTTGTGGACCCCTCTGCTTTTCTTGCCAGCCTTCCTTAAGCCTGGGATCTCTCCTCTCAAGGATCTTACTCTCCCTCAAAGTTTTAAATTCCTTAATGTAGCTCTTCAAGGCCATGATTTGCTCTGAACTGACTTTTCCAGTCTTGGCTCTTTTCTTTGCACATGCCCTGCTCTCCACATGGAAGACTTTCTAAGTCCACTTCACTGGGCTTAGGTCTGAACACAAATATCACCTCTTCCAGAAAGATTTCCTTAACCACAAGCCTAGGTAGGATGCTTGTTCTATTCAGTCCCTTAGCACCCAACACGCACCCCCTTGTATCTTTTATCTCACTGTATTATAAATACCTGTTCATTTTTATTCCCCACTCACCTGCAAGTTCCTCAAGCAGCCAGATCCTAAGGTTGTTTAACACCTAAGTCTCAGCCCTTCATAATGCCCCCGCAGAATGCCTGGGAATAAGGGAATTATTCTCTCTCACACATGGACAGGAAAAAGACATGCATTTGTGTTCATTTCATTCAAGGTAGCTTGTAGAAGTACAGAAATTAAAAAAATCACAGAAATAAAAATATGAAGTGACCCCTGATATCATTCAATGCAACTCTGCCCTTCCCCATTTTGTAGGTGAGAAAACCCAGGACTAAAACCCCACATGCAACTGATGCAAGAACATGCCTCCTTTTAACCTCAGAGTAACTTTAATTAAAAGTATTCTTCCGAGGTGAAAAGAATCTCAGATCTTAAAGGTGGAAAGGCCTTCCAGATGTTCAGTCTCCTGCCTTATTCCCATTTTGTGATCAAGTGAGGCCCAGAGAAGTTACTTGGCAGCTGGGATTCTCGCCAGCCTCCCGTTCCTGTGGTGTTGCAAATTTACTGCCCAATTGCACAGTCAAAATGATTCCAGAGAACACTAAAAGAACACTAAAACACTTTGTTACCTGGCTGGAACACCAGTAACAAAGAACCACATCAAAGGCTAGCTACCTACAAACACAGCCAGGTCTACCTTGACACACTTGGCCCCTGAATGACCCCACATCAGCAGCTCCATTTGAGCACAAGCTCCCCGAAGGGAATCATTCCTCTGAGGATACAAACATGAGGGGTCAAGACGCAAAGGCTGAGGTCTCCTTGTTTTTAGGGCTTTTTAAGGGCTACACTCATCCTACATTTCTGTTTCATAAAATGTTACAAGCTGAAAAACAGCAAACGATTGACCCCATTAGCTCTCTTGAGAGACTTTCAAATCAAAACTACCTAACTTGGGATAACTGGTTCTAGCAGCAGGTATCTGCTTACTCCTCTCAACCAGTTGCATTTCCTAGTAGGAGCTCACATAGAGATATGCCGAGATGTAATTTCAAGGATGGCCCATTTGGAAAACAAATCAAGTAACAGTTACCCAGGCAAGGGTTTATTCAGTGGGTAGGTTATTAAAACTGAGCCTGACATGGTCCAGAAGCCACCTTTACCATAAACCATCCACCACTCTTTAATAAGGGCCCCACCATCAAGGGGGCACCACACCACCTAAGCTTTCCCCATCCCTGTGCTATCAATGATCTGACCTGACTCAGCCTCTGCCCACCTGTGACTTCTGCCCTCTGGGCTGCTGTGTCCTTTAACACTTGCCTCTGCTCCTGCTTCCCTCACTAAGTTTGAGTACTCCCTAAATAACTAATTCATTCAACAACTTGTGTAGGCCATCTTTGTGGAGTTTGGGCCAGTTCATCTCCTGGATGACTGGCAAGCTGACGGGTTGGCTGCTTGTAAATGGACGCTGATCAGAGCTTCAGTGGCCCCTGACAGGGCAGGGAGGTCAGTTGGCATAAAATATGGAGCCCCACAGATAAACTGCCTAGGCCCCTTTATCAGCAAAAGGTTGTGAACAAGATTTCCACACACAATAGGACTGAGGACAACGGGAAAATCAGATGTGTAATTAATTGCTCCCCATTACCTATGAAAAACAGAAACTACAATTTACCAAGTGCATCTTACATGCCATGTCCTATGCTGTCAACCTCACTGAGGCTGAGTGACTCTCCTAGGTTTACACAGCTAGAGAGCCGCAGGCAGCTCTCACTCCTGGGTCACGAGTGTCAGTGCTCAAAGCTGCTTTGCTACAGCTGCAAACTGCAAAGCTACAGCTGAAATTTGAGCCGTGTTTAAAATGTGATCAGAACATCGTGAATGTACTAATGCCACTGGACACATAAAATGGCACTTTTATGTTATCCTTTACCACCTTTTCAAATGATACTGGAAATACAAATGCCACACATGCCAATTGGAGACTCAACCGGCACGAGACCGTTACACAATAACCCATGTTCAAGAGAAGTCTGCTTTACTTACAAGATGAGGACAAAGAGCCTTAAACTTATACATGTATTTTTCCGTTTGGAGTGTGGCCTTTGTCTAAAATGTAGGCACGTAAGGGTACTTTAAAAGTACATCATCGGTACATGCTGAAAATTTTTACATTGTAATTCCATCATAAACCTTCGTACTAAAACATGTAAATATGTAAAATATACTATAAACTTTAATACTGCTTTAACATTAAATATTGTATAAACATTTAACTTAATATTAAACATTAAAACAATGTTTTGCTTTTATAGCACTTACCTGCATTTCTGATGCCATTTCCCAAGATATTCCAGACACTCTTTGGGAATGAACTTCATACCCAGCTGCAGGTCATTCAACAAAGTAGGCTCATCCTTTGTAGCTACACATCTGAAAGCTTTATTTCCTGGCTTGATTACCCACATTTGCCAGCTTCACTCCAAATGACTCTTACAAACTTTCAAAAGTAAAATTCATCCTTACGTGAAATTCCTACCCATAATGGATAACTTGAGTTCTAAAATATTTGAAGCAGTGGCAGTATTGCAGGAAATGTGTATACAGGCTCCAAAGATGAAAACTTGGAAAGAGAACTTTCATCTTACAAGGGCTACTTTGCAGGACTGTGGCCTCATTCCTTCGGTCACAGCACCTCACTAAAAAAACTGCTACCCAGACAACATCTAGCAGCTGTGCTTGGCTGGAGTATGCTAATCCTGTCTTCTTCCAAAGAAGCTTCCTACCCATTAAAATTCCAAAAAGATGGAAGACAAAGATCTTTTCATATACCCTTCCACTTCTTTTACTAGAATGTTTTCTACTTCCTCTCCCCTCCCAACCTCTAACCCCCCTAATTGCCGGTTCTTCTCATTCACAGGGAGGGACGATCATCTCACTTATGCTCACTGTGGCTGTCATAGCACTCTCTGCCATCAATGTGGGCAGCAGCATCCTATTTATCTTCACACCACACTTAATGGCCACCTCCTCCCTAATGCCTTTCGTTGGCTTCCTGCTGGGCTACATTCTCTCCGCTCTCTTCCGCCTCGAAGGACGGTAGGTATCACTTTAGTTCCCACTGCCCCACGGGCATCATTCTTGGTCCCGGTCTCTAATGGAAAAGGTAGGGAAATTCATCATCTGGAGAAGGCATTTTCCTAGCAATACCTTCAAATCCATCAATAGGACAAGGACCTTCACACTGAGAAATATTGCGCAAGGAAGGTATCGACTGACTTACAAGCTAAGAGAAACCCAAAGCCCAAAGGCATCTGGTCATCCACTGGAGTGAATTCATGCCACGATGGCTAGGTTTATGTTGATTCTTCCTTTCCCTGCTTTTCGTCTGCCTAGGGATTTCACCTTACAAGAACAGGCGAGAGTCAGTCCTGTTAAGCTTATGCTATCATCTAATCCAGCTCACAGAGCTGCTAACTTTAGGAATAGTTCGAGAGCATGGTATGGGAACATTAGGCATCCTGCCTACAGAGAGCATTAGGCATCCTGCCTACAGTGTCCCTTTCAGGGACACTGTTTCAGCCATACAGACACATGCATGTGCAGGAGTTAACATTAGTAGCACCCAAGTCCCCCGCCCCCTCCCCCCAACAAAATGAGTTGTTGTGAAAAATGAATTAAACCAGGCTAGTAAGATTTCTACAGAATGTGTCATGGGACTGCCCAGGCAGTCAAAAGGCTGTCAATGACGAATGTCAATTTTGAAAGACAAACGGCCACATCAAGTGATAACATGGTAGTCTCCATATTGTGCCTTGATGGCCGTCAGGGTTTTAATATACTAACTGCAGTTAAATGTAGATAGACTACTCTTTAATCCTTAAAATGGAAAGCAAAATGAAGAGAATGTTCGGAAGATAACAGGGCAAATCAAATTTGTCTTTTTTTTTTTTTTTTTTTTTTTTTTTTTTTTTTTATTTATTTGTTTGTTTGTTTGTTTGTTTGTTTATACAAGCACTGGGCACAGTCAGAAGCGCGGGAGGGTGACAGAATTCACCAGAGCCAGAGCAGGGAACAGAGCAGGCAGAAGGACCGAAGTACACTGCTGAGGGGAGCAGCGGGCGGCAGGAGAGGTCTGCGCGCCATGTGGGACCCTCCTCTGGTGGCCGGGGAGCAGCCGGGGATCGAACCGGCACCGCAGAGGCCGCGGGCAGCTTCACAACCCAGCGCTCAACCGCTGTGCCACCGGGGAGGCCCCAAATTTGTCTTTTAAATTGAGTTCCAAATCCAAAAGCTGGGGACAGGACAAGTTCCCCAGACATTTCAGACATCCTCTCAAAGTTGAAATTGCAATTGGCCTGTATGTAAAGCCCAAATAAGCTACTAAATGATAGTGGTTCACTTCTCCCTTTCACCCCTCACCAGACACTTCTCCAAATTTTAATTTGCAAATCCTACGAAAGTAGACAAACACACTTCCAAGTTACTAAGAGTATCTCCTGAGTTAAGCCCACGAGTCACCATCTTCCACAAGGCTAGTGGCTTCACAAAATGTCAACTTTTCTGGAAACCATGTGCACTCCATCTGGCTCACATCCATCTTTCTGAGTTATACATACGGTCCCATGGGTCTTAAGAGCATCTGGGTGGGTGGAGGAACGAAGTTACACCCTCACATCCTTTCTGTGAGGACATACGGGGTTTTTTTTTAACCTACACAGATGCAGACGCACAGTCAGCATGGAGACTGGATGTCAAAATGTTCAACTGTGCTCCACCATTCTCAATGTGACCTTCCCCCCTGAAGTCATTGGACCACTTTTCTTCTTTCCTCTCCTCTACATGATCTTCCAGCTTGGAGAAGGCCTTCTCCTAATCGCCCTCTTTCGGTGCTATAAGAAAATCAAACCTTCCAAAGGTGAGTGTATCTTTTGGGAATCCCACTCTCAACTGATTCTGCCAGCAAGTCCGGCTCTGGCCAGGACCTTTTGGAAGGGCCGTTTATCAGGTCACTAGAAGCAAGGTAAGACCAAGCAGGGATACGACCTCAAAGAGCCAAGGCTCATTTCACTAACTGCATTTTATTTCCACTCTCTAAGCTGGAAGAATCAATTGTGATAGTTTGCCTTCTGGGACACCAAAGCAACTTTGACTCCTTTAAGGAGGAAACCAATCAGGATTCAGAGTGAGGATAAGCCAGACCTGCCCTGGACATTAGAAAGTTGTTTCAAAGGTCTCGACTGACAAACATTCAGATGTCTCTGTGCGATTCGGCACCAGGTTCTTATGTTCTAGAGCCAGGTCAGAGCTCCATGCGTTGCTGACACCCCCTACTATGTATGGGAAAACTTATTAGCAATGCAACCTGACAAGCCAGAATCCAAGTAAGAGTTCCAATTCTAGCTAGAAGAAAACAAGTATAAGCTTTTTCAACAGTAACTAACACCATAACCTCGTCAGTATGTTTTATACTCTAACCTGGTTACTCGTGGATTAACTCTTCCTGATCAACAGCATCTATTTTCTAAGGTACTCAGAGCATTTCTCTTCAATATAATCAACCTCAATGAATTCTTTGTTCAGAGAGTACCTTTAAACCCAATTCTTTTCTCAAAACCACCTTTCTCGGTAACATATTCTAGTATTTTTAACTCTTAAATAGTTTATTATCCTTAATCACGTCCTCAAATCCTTCACCAGCCTTTTATTTCCCATGAAAATTAAAAGCTCCATGGGGGCCTCCCTGGTGGCGCAAGGGGTTAAGCACCGCACTATGAAGCAATCCACAGCCTCTGCAGCACAAGTTCAATCCCCAGCCAGCCAGGGAGCAAACTACATGGCAAACCAGACCTCTCCTGTCTCACCCGCTGCTCCCCTCAGCAGTGTATTTCAGTCAGTCTGCCTGTTCTGTTTCCCCACTGTCTCTGGTGAACCCTCACCCCCATCATCTCTGGCCAGTGCCCCAGCTCTTGTATGCATAAATAAATCTTAAAAAAAAAAAAAAAAAAGTGCCCACAGCGCTGTGAAGCTGTACGCAGCCTCTGCAGTGCCGGTTCGATCCCCCGCCGGCCGTGGAGATAACCCACATGGCAAGCAGACCTCTCCTGTCTCGCCTGCTGCTCCCCTCAGTATATTTCATGAGTCTGCCTGTTCTGTTCCCCACTGTCTTTGGTGAATCCTCTCGCCTTCCCGCACATCTGGCCAGTACCCCAGTTCTTGTATAAATAAATCTTTAAAAAATAATTTTTTAAAAAAGTAAAAGGTCCTTCAAGACCCTAGGGATGTACACCCTAGAAAATACCACTTCCTCAGGTGGAATTACAGCAGCAATTAAGAGTTATAGTGAACTATGATGTAATCTTGTTTATCAAGAAGCTGAAACAAAACAAAAACAGCTCACTATATTGCAGAACCATTTTAATCACTTTGGATCAAAATCAGTGTTAAAACGAATTTATAATATGAAGCTTATCTGAGAGCAACTCAAGAAATGTTTCCCCATTGCACTCTTAAGTGCAAGAGGGAAGAAGTTTCTAATACAATCACCCAGCTTCCCAAATTTGTAGTCTGAGTCCCAGAAAGGTCTGCAATCCTCTAAAAGAGCCACACACTCATTGTGGGTAGTTTGAGTCTCAAAATCCAAAACTTCACTCATGATGTGCTACAGAAGACTCCTGTGGCAATACTATGTGAAAACAAGTTACCCCTTTGGTACTATTGGACTAAAAACGTTAATCTGTCAATTTTGAATTTTTGAAAACTCTAGAAATGAAACAAAAGGAGAACCCTGACATACTTCACAGCTCACATCCATACAGGCAGAAAAAGGGACAAATACAATGTGGGGGACACAGAAACTCCTCTTAGAAAACTTCCCCAAAAATCTTCCTTCCTGTCACAACTTGCTTCCCGAATGCAAGTTAACTGGTTATGTTCCAGCTCAAACCACCTCTGTGTTTGCATGTACAAAGCTGTAAATGGAGAAGAGTAAAAATTCTGCTCCTGTAGTATACCTTTTATTACTATTACCATTAGGGATGCTGAAAAGAAAATCAATCTCCCCTCAAGAGTTTAAAACAGGAGAGATGAGGGCCTCCCTGGTGGCACAGGGGGTTGAGACGCAACCTATGGGGCTGTCCGCGGCCACTGCAGCAAGGGTTCGATCCCCGGCCAGGGAGCTGCCCACATGGCGCAGCAGACCTCTCCTGACTCACCCGCTGTTCCCCTCAGCTGTGTATTTCAGTCGATCTGCCTGTTCTGTTCCCCATTGTCTCTGGTGAGTCCTCTCACCCCTCCATACCTCTGGCCTGTACCCCAGTTCTTGTACACATAAATAAATCTTTAAAAAAATGAGAGATGATAAAAATGGGGTGGGGGGGCACAAACACCACATGCATAGCCAGGGTAAAAGTTGTTTATCTTCCAGACTGAAGCTTTGGACTAACTTACCATTTTTCTCCTCCTCTACCTTTAACCCTTTTCAACTCTACAGACAAAACAAAAATGATTTACACAGCTGCCACAACTGAAGTAACAATTTCAGGAGCTGTGAGCAATGGCACCACACCCAATAAGGGGAGTGCAGTGCTTCCTTGCACAGTCTAACCTTCTCCCCGTGTCCTGGATTTTGATCAGAGAGCAACACAGAAAGCCAGTGTGATAAGCTACGATGAACAGAATGATGAAACAGCCAAGTCAGAGTCTTTGTCCAGCATTTCCAGTAATAACAACCAGTCGGCAGCCCTTGCCTGGAAGACAGCATCTACCTGAAAAGCCTCACCTATTCCCAGCTTAGAATTTTGATACTTGTTTATAAAAGACACTCAATGACAGCTCTGACAGCCGGAACCAAAACTGCATTTTCCCCTCATGTCTCTATTAACAGTGCCTGACAGGCATATAGAAAGGCACTCAACTAGTGAACTCGTCAATAAATGACGTTTTTACCCAAAATAAAAAAATGATGTTCCAACTTTTGTCCAAAAGGTAGATTGCTGTGGAATCAGACTTCAGAAGTTCTTTCTGATCTTACATAGGCCCCATTCCTTCCCTTTTTGTTATCACTGTGACTGAAGTTCCTAAAAAACAAACAAAATACACCAAGTATGCAGAAGCAGAAATAAAATGCAAAACTATCAAACTCAAGGGCCTCCCCGGTGGGGCAGCGGTTGAGCCCTGGGTTGCGAAGCTGCCTGCAGCCTCTGCAGCACCTGTTCGATCCCCGGCTGCTCCCGGCCACCAGAGGAGGGTCCCACATGGCGCACAGACCTGTCCTGCCGCCCGCTGCTCCCCTCAGCAATGTACTTCGGTTCTTCTGCCTGCTCTGCTCCCCGCTCTGGCTCTGGTGAACTCTCTCGCCCTCCCGTGCTTCTGACTGTACCCAGTGCTTGTATAAATAAATAAAATAAATCTTTAAAAAAATAAACAAATCTTTAAAAAAAAAAACTATCAAACTCAAAAGCTAGCCATGGGAAAATGAAGTAACATTTTTGAAGCAGAGATGATAAACTTTAACAAGGAAAAGCCAGGCAACAAACACCAACTCATTGTTTCACTAATCTAGTAATAGTCCCCATCAGCTGTTAAGTGATTTTTACATTATGGGCCCTCAAAAAATTCACAGCATTGCCAAAATGCATGACTACTCCATTTAAAGGTACTCAATAACTAGAGTTCTTTTTTTCTGTTTCTCTAAACATTGTGTATATCGTTCATATGCAAGTATTAGTAAAAGATTCATTAATAAATACTGCGTTTGCAAATTGCTAATCCCACTTCCAAGTGATCTTCAATACTTAGGTCCAACTGAAATTTTAGGGTTATTAGTCTGGCAAACAGAGAACTAGCAGTATTCCCAATATCCCAAGTTTAAGAATCACCCTCTTTAAAACTGAACACCCAACCATTGCTTTTATATAGCATACCAACTTATCCGTTCAAGTTGTTTCCACTATCTCACCGGCATGATATGCTAGATATTTGGTTAAGAAGAATAAACAAGTTTATTAGTAATTTTAGGAAGAGAGGGACTTCAAATACAATTACCTTCAAACTCCTGAGGAAAACTACAGAAGCCTCTATGAACAGAAAGAACAAAAACTACTGTCCTGCAACAGGCTGGTGCTCAAACTTAATTGTTACACACACTCCTCCCTCATAGGACACCTCCAATCCTGGATCTGGTAATTCAGGCTAACATGTTAGCTCAAACCAACTCCCAGTCCATCTCTGGGACATGTTCAAATTAAAAGCCGTATTCTACTGCCTAACTTTTTGTTATAGTCTAGTAAACCACTGATACATACCTACTTAGGAGTAAATAAAGGTGGAAAACAAGTGGTAAAACAGCAAATTACACCATACATTTAAAATGCTTAAGGATTTATTTAATTTGCACTTTATGACTTGTATAACCTTCAGGTCATTACAAAGGAAAAAACCTAGGCTGGCACCCTCAATCCAAGTTAAAAAGTCTATCACTCAATGACTCCCCACACCTTGAAAGCATGAGCTTTGTAACTTTATGACCCAAGTTCAACAGGGGGAAGTAGTCTTGACGCAAATGCCCTAAAAACCTTTCAAATCCCCCAGAAGGGGATTCCTACTAACCAATCCCTTTATTGTGAGGAAACCAGAAGCAAACATTCTAGTGCATCTCTAATTTTGCTTTCCTCAAAATTCCTGCAAAGCTATAAATATGATTTGGCGGTTCTACAAGTACATTTTTTGCAGTCTAACACTAGTTAGGTTCCTTGTTCTCAATTTTCTTCTATAAAGTGGTACTATTATGTAACAGTTTTGACTATACAGTCAAAGCACTTAAAAGTATTTATTTAGCTACTATTCTCAATCCTTATCACCAAATACGCAAGCCTTTCGATTGCTAGGTTAGCATTATCAGTCCAAGATTCCTCAAAGAATCATGTCCCGCAGGAATTGGGCCCTAATAACCCAACAAAAGGTAAATACAGAACCTTAAACATTTTTCACTTTGAAATTTTCTCCCTTAACATTGTCACTTTCATGTCAAGTACAAAAAAACATCTTAAAGCCCCTGTAAAAGAATGCACATGCACGGATTAAAAAAGGAAGTCTAAGCAAACTGACACCATACTATAAACCAGGTGGTGCAGGGAAAAAAACACATAAGGTCACACAATGGAAACGGTCAAACAAATGTCAACGCTTATTTTGAAAATGCAATTTACTTTCCTTGCCTGTATTTTGACTAACCTAGAAATGTCCAAAGTAGTACTTTAAAAAAAGGAGGAAAAACCCACCATACCAAAAAAAAAAAAAAAAAAAAAAAAATGACTACAGGATTCTCTACAAAGGGTTTATGTGCTGAACGTAGACGGAGAGGAAGTATATATACTTCCTTCAGAAAACAGACAAAAGCAGTTTTATAATCTTTTATTATCAATAACAAACAGCTGCTTTAATGTGTTTTTGCCAGGCAGCTGTTAAATGGTGGGTAAGGACACCCTTGACCCTAACAAGGGAAACTCAAATTAAGCCTTTATGTACAAGCAAATTTAGAGCTCTTTTATGTGTCCAAAGCTATTAGTTTAATTGAGGCATTAAACTAATTCTGAATTAAGATAATTGAATAACCAGAACTAAAATATTCAAATTTTTCTAGTACAAAAAAAATTAAACTGGCTTTAGTTATAAAAGAGCTCTGTCAATATACACAAACTATATACTTCAGACATTCACAAAAATGTGAGCAGAAGGCTTATCAAAAGACATTTAATACAATTAGTTTTCAACAACCCCTTGGTGGTCCACATCTACAAAGATATCCAGCCCAACCCCACCCTCCCCTCCAAATCCCACCCCCACAGAAAAGCACATACTTACCAGAACTTTTAGCAAGTATGGTTTGGGAATTTGGTTTTTTTGTTTTGTTTTGCTTTTTTAAAAAAGGCCCCCAGGGCAAGTTATTTACAGTTTAATTGCCACTGTCAACTGATCTGGACCTTGATCGGGACCGGGACCGGGACCTCTGGCGATCCACAGATGCTGGAGACTTAGATCTACTTGAAGAACCACGTTTTTGGCTCTTCTCAGGCACAGGAGACCTACTAACAGAACGGGACTTGCTCCTGCTCCTGCTCCGGCTCCTGGACCGACTGTAAGACTTGCGACTCCGGGAACGAGATCTGCTACGAGACCTAGAGGAACTCCTGGTCCGAGAACGAGACCTGCTTCTTGACCTACTAGGAAGGAGAAAAAAACAACAAAAAATAAGTGGTGGGCTCTACAACTCCATTAAATAAAATCTGACTTAATATATTAAAGAGGTACCTGTGCCTTTTGCTGCCTTCAATTAATTTGATTTTTCTCCCATTTATTTCCTTTCCAGAAAGTTTTTCAATAGCATTCTTTAAATCGCCATAAGAGGCAAACTCAACCACCCTGCAACAACAAAAGTCCTTTGTGAAGTGATATACATCTTTTAATCTCAGAAACTATAAAAGCAGTCTAGACTAAGTACTTTTTCTTACGCATTCTTCTTTTGCCACAGTCTTATCTCTTAATAGGTAACATGCCATTAGCACAAGGTTTCTCACTCCAAAAGAGGTGACATTTTAAGTCAGAGTCTCTGTTCTGAAGTGCTTTCTTGTTGCCTTATAGGATGTTTAGCATGAGCACCCCTGACTTAAACCCACAAGATGCCAAAAGCACCCTCAACCAATTATAACCAACAATGACTCCAGACTTTGCCAATAGTGCCCTAGGAAGCAAACCTGAGTGAGAATCACTGCACTGGAGCCTACAGTTTTAACTCAGTACTGAGGAACAGTCACAGTAAAAATTTCAGGGTCTTTCAAAACTCATAACCAGGACATACCCTTCATTTAATTTAGGTCGATGTGCATCCGCAAAGGTTACTTCCCCAGCTTGTCTCATGAAATCTTTGAGATCCTTAACGCAAGACAATTGTGTTAAGCAGAGAAAAGGAAATGTGGACACACAAACAATCACATGGTATAAAAACAAGACTACTGAAAGAGAAGATGTTAGATAAAGTACAAACATGGCATTTACCACACTTGTATTCTATCAGAATTCAAAATTATTTATGTCAGGGCACGAAATAAGCAAAAAGCATATTGCTTTTAAGCAAAATGCTAGAGAAATTCAGATTTTAACATTAAAGTAGTATTAGTCTATACTGAGGCTTAATACAAAAGGAAAACAAAAAACAAAACAAAAACAAAAAAAAAAAAGGAAAACAGTACATATTTTAAAAGCAAAGACTAAAGTAGAAATTTTATATTTAAAAAACAGAACATTTACAAGACACCAGTTATTTTGTGCCCCATATGCCATTAAAAAAGTTTACTTTACCTTTATTATTATTTCCCTAGGCTAGTCAAGCAGCAAATCATTAATCGGTCGGAGAAACCTTCATGACATATGCCCGACTGGCTCTTCGCCACCCACTTGAAGGACACTACCCAATCGATGGAAGCCTTTAATCGCACAGCCCTCCCTATTAGCAGACTATTGGCGGATGCAGACACGTTCTACTCTTGTGCAGTTACCAAGGACCACTTTACTGCGATCAGGATTCCAACGACCACCTAATTTCGTATCTTTCAACTCTTTTCGACCAGGACCTCTTATTCGGAAGCGTTACAGGAAGACAGCTCTCAACTTAGGGATCAGATCACGTTATCAACGCTCTGGGATCGCTGCAACCTGGCACTTCAATAAGTGCACCGATTACGTCTAGACCGGCAAACACAGATCTAGAGGTGGCCAATTGATCACTGTAGGAGCTGACTGGCAAAGTCAACCAGGCCCAACCAAGAGTGACCAAGACAACGATTAGGATAACCCACAGGCACTCCTCGTCATAAGGCCAACGACACAGATAGGCTGGCAAATAAAGGGTTTAATATTTGGTTAAAATTGATTTTAAGAAACAAGAAAAAATATCCTCAAAACATTTACATTTGATCACTAATATTAAAATTTGAAACATCCCCCAATTACATTAAATTAAATTTTAAAATTACAATTAAATCCATTAATTTAATTAAAAGATAAAACTACTTTTAATAAAATATTAATAAAAACATTAGCTACCCACTAATTTAAAAAAAAAACAACATTGAAATATCTCAAAACTGTGTTTCAACAAACCTGCCAGCTGACTCTTGAAGATAAATTCTCAACTATAAGCCGATTTTCTGTTCTTACAGGTGGAGCATTTCTGAGGAAGAAAATGAGTACTCACAATGGAAGAAATACAGCAATGTGCACTTACTGTGTTCAACTGCAGGCAAGTTCAAACAACTAGACATGGCAAGAAACTCAAATGACTTCCATCAAGTTTGCGTTTTATCAAAGATTTATGAGAACAGTAGACTAACCAATTACAGGACAACTACCAGAATCACTTGCTACTAATCATTCTTTAACCTTAAACTCTGCTCCCGCACTAATGATTGTTGAGAACAGCCATGAGTATAGCACATACCGTCTATCATTTCGAGGTCTACGACTACTAAAACGGTCAGAGTAGCGTCCTCGACCTCTTCCTCCTCGAGATCGAGCCCTAGCATGTTCAATAGTAACCCTGTAAGAAAGAAAAACCTTCATCATCCACTTAAGCTATAACAGAAATCTGCATAGAAAAAGCATCCCAGCTAACCTAATGTGCTCTATTTTACAGTACTAACTAGTTACAGAACTAAAAAAAAAGTCTTCACCTTTCACTGCAGAGTTCTTTTCCATCAAGTTCATAAACAGCATCATCTGCATCCCTGGGATCCTCAAATTCCTGAATTACAAACATGAAAAAAGATAATGCTTAACACGTGGCTTTAAAAGTACATTCTACAACTTACTAGGAGCACTAAAATATGTAACAAAATAAGAAGAGGACTGTCTTAATGACACTGCCATACAAAGAAGCTTATTGAAAAGGGTCAGTTAACAACAGTGAGGTTCTTTGATGCTGTCCCTAAGAAAATTCACAGCCTTAAAGCTGCAAAGTATTTTTTTTTTTTTAAATTCTATCCGGACTCAGTAAGATCAAAGACACTTACAAAAAGCTTTACCTACTTAACGATAACCCAACAGTTCTACATACTTACCACAAAACCAAAGCCTCTTTTCAGATCAATATCCCTTATACGTCCATACCCCTTGAAGAATCTCTCCACGTCTTTCTCCCTGGCCGCTGGATTTAACCTCCCGATGAATACTCGACAGCCACTCATGATGTCCGGCTAGTGCCTCCTGTCATAAAATAATCCAACCGAGACACCACCAATGAATGTCAGAGGAATGCCTGGCTAGGGGATCAAAAACATAAACAGCATAAAATAAAATGTTTACCCGGTGATGTTATAAACCAGATTGCCAAGAGTGCCTCTTATTAGGCCAGGTCCCTTGCAGACAAAATTAAAACTCGGCTCCCAACACGATCCTTCCCTGGGCCCAGACCGCAGCAACCGCAACGCCCACTGACGCCTCTGGAACTGCGCAGCCGCACACTCTCCGCGGCTCTTCTGGCCCCCTCCCATCTGCCGCAGTTAGGAAAGGCCGAGAAGTGCGGGCGGAGCCGACCCCGCCCTCCGCACGGCCAGCCCAATGGCGACGAGCCGCACGCGCGTCGCCGCCTCCCGGGAGCGTCACAGCGGGTGGTAGCCGGAATTCGCGACGCCACGGCCGCGCCTGCGCAGACGACGGCGGGCGGACGCTGGGCAGGCACAAAATGGCGGCCACGAAGGCAGCGGTGGGGAGAACCGCGCGTGCCAAACTCCCTTCTCCCTCCCCGACTCCGCCGCCCCGGAGTCACAGCCCCCGCCCGCAGAGAGGCCTGGCCACACGCCGAGCAAAGGCCTCGGCCCACCATTGGAGGGGTTCGGGCAGAGAGGAGGTAATGAGGCAGGGAGGGGCACATAACCTCTGTGTACCACGACCACAACCACGTCCGCCCTTCCACCTTCAGGGCCCCTCCAACAATCCCGAAAAGGGAGACGTGCCCCAGCGCCCACCTCGAGTAAACTGTGCTCATTGGACGCCGTCCTCCGCAAAGAGAGCAGCCCAGGCCACTCGCGATCTGAGTGGCCATGAAGAAGCCTCGATCCGAGAAGCCTTTCCCCCAAAGTGAGCCACTCACCTACCGGACTGATCTTTGGCAGCTGAGACTCAGAGAGGTCCGTAGTCTGCGACGGAGCCGTCTGCCTCCCCGCAGACCAGGACTCAACTCGTCTACGTCTCTCCACAACTGACGCACTTACTGCTCTAGCGTTCCACAAAATGGAGGGCGCGCCTCGGCGTCACTTCCGGGACCGCCCCTCAGGCCTCCCTGTTGGACCCAGGGCCGGAAGTTTCCGTGGGACCGAACCCTCCTGACCGTGACTGCTCACGCGGGGCGGGGCCGGGGGCGGGGCCGGGGCGGGGCCTGGCGTGGGAGCGGCGGTCAGGTGCCCGCGGCGGGAGGAGGGGCCGAGGGAGGGGCCTCTGGATTCGCGAGGTTTACGTTTTCTCTCCGGTGAAAATACCGTGGGGCTAATGACACCTCCTTTTTAACTGAAGTAACGGGGCAGAAGAAACGAAGGCTTTGCAGAAATATCTGGCCGTGTCCAATCTTTGCCGCTTGCAATTTAAGGTTGCACTTTGGACGGCGCTCCTTGATGCTCACGTTTTAATCCCACCTTGGACGCGTGATGGAGTTACAGTGAGAAGGCTGAGGATGGCAGGGTGTTTTTATTTTATTATTTTTTAAATTTTTTTTAAAGATTTTATTTATGCAGGGTGTTTTTAATGGAAGATTTTTGCGTGATGAAGTACTGGAGAACTATCTTGAACTGAGCCCAGAATGCAGATTTCTGCATTTCCACTACTCTAGGACTGTGCTGACTAGAAGAGGTTTCAAGAGACTTTTAAGTCCCAATGGTATTTGTTCCCTGTTCAGGTTTCTGTGATGTAACACATGAAAGACTACCATTCCTCAGAAGCTGAAGAGTTGTGTTTTCAAAGAGGGTGTGAAACATACCCACATTCTTAATTGCACTTTTCCAGTAAGGGTTGGCAGGTTAGAAATTTCAAGAGAAGAGCTATAAAGAGAACGACGGTGAGAACGACGGTGGAAAGCTTGCTTTTCTTCAGGTGGAACCCAAGGTACCCCATTTTTTGAGAGTTACACACAGATAAAGTTACACACAGATAAAGTAGGTCAAGAGAGAGCCATGCTGTGAACCCCGATTCTGTCCTCCAGACCCCTTAGGGACTCTGGACCAGAAGTTGAATAATTGGGAAGGTACGAAGCTCTTCCACGCATACGTCTCTATGTCTGTTTTTGAAAGTGCTTCAGTGGCTCTGTAGCAAAACTGTGAAGCTGGTTATCTCTGGGGTGGAGAATTTAAGGATGAATTTATAAGAAAATATGTATTTGTTAGAAAAAAAATACTTAACTGTAGCTGCTAGTCTGATAAACATGAACTTTTTATAATCTGAAAATTGTCCCAAACCTGTATTTACTTAATTACATTTGCTTGCTTTTTGTGTAATTTTAAAAAATCAGTCTTTCTGTTATTTTCTGCCTTTTGTATTGAGAGTGGAAACAACTGCTTATGATTTTGCCCACAAAACATTGTTTTTGCTACAATAAGATAAAGTATCTAGAAATGGCCTTCTAGCAGGTAGAAAACAAAAATAATGGTGCTATGTGAACACCTGGAAAAAACTGCTGCCTTCACCCATGGTGGTGTGCTTTTCTTCAGGACTAATCTTTAAATATTTTCTCGAACTACTTTCTGTTTAAAACTTTGTGATTTCTACAAAGGTAATCTTTCATTAATAATCCCTAGTGACTTAATCTACATTATTTTAAAACACTTCTCTTCTGCTATCTAATCAGTCTTCCTACCTGATGGCTTCTTATGAATTTCTCCAAAAAACACAAAATTATCTTCCATGAGCAGAATTACTCTCCTTTTTGTGTGATCCTGCAGTATTCTGTGAATACTCCTTTTAATTCCTTCATTAGTGACCTATCACATAGATGTGTAATTTATGATTTATTTTCCAGAAATGCCTAGCTCAGAAAAAAAAAACTTAGAATGTATAGACCTGAATTTGCATTAACATTTCTCTCAGGCCATTCTGTACCTATCTTGCAAAAAATGACTTGGCATTCTTCTTCTAAGATGTCCAAGTGAAACAAATCTTTAGTAAAGGGGGAAAATGCAGAGAAATCACAGATTAAAATAAATGTCATGTATTGACCATCTCTGCTGGGGACTTTCAGCTTAACTGTGGGATGATTCATTCATCATGTTCCTGCTTCTATCTAACTCAGTAATCCAATTACGGTTTGTGGCCCTCATCCAGCATGCCACCTGTATTTTTAAGGTTGGTTTTACCTTTTTAAACAGTTGAGGGGGAGGGATCAAATGAAAAATAATATTTTGTAGACACATGAACATTTCAATGAAATTCAGGAACATTATCGATGAAGTTTCTTTGGAAGACTGCCAATCATATACTTACTATGTATGTCCTGCTGCAAAGGCAAGGCTGACTAGTTGCCATAGAGACCATATAGGCCACAAGGCAAAATATTTACTACCTGACTTTTTATAAAATACAATGTTTGTTGACCCCCGAGGTAACTGATTTCTAGATTTTAAACTGTTCTTAGACTGCACCATTCAACACCTATTGCCAAGTAATAAAATATAGGGAGACAGGATTTAATTTTTATTTTTGAATAGGGTTTATTCCACATATAAAAAGAAATATATGCTCATTATAGAAAAATTTTTCAAAAGGAAAAATAATCTGAAAAAGAGGAAACACAATCCCATCTTACCAATCAGCCTCTGATTAGATTTTATTGTAATTCCCCCTCATATTTTTTCTCAGTGTTAAATGTTGTCCAATTCAAAAGTAATCATCATTTTTAAAACTTAATTTCAAAAACAATTATGAGAATTTAAAAGACCATCCTTATTCCCAACCCCGAGGGATAGCTATTTGACTTTTTTATAATTTCCCTTTAGTGTTTTTCATAAGCACAAGCGTGTTTTCAAAAATTTGAATCATCCTCATATATATAATTTGGAGGTTTTCTTAATTTGTAAATTTAATCATGGCCATTTTTCCATGTTTCTTTAACAACATATTTGCGATCAAAAGTGTATATTCAAATTTGTGTCTGTTTTCCCATTTAACATGACACTAAGGGCTGCCCATGAGTGTAATACTCAGCCAGAAGTAGCACCTGTGCTAGTGAATTGCAGGATCCTGACCACCAAAGCCAGAAATGATTAGAGTGAATGTGAAATTAAAATGGGCAGCACGTCACTGAATAGGAGATGAACTGAAGAAGAAACGAAATAGTATCTGTACAGAGAAGTGGCAAAGATTAGCATGAGGGGGTCCTGTGAATATTTTCTTAGGCAGAGATAAAATATCATGGCCACTAATTCATGATTTGCTAACTTAGAAAACTTAGGAATCCTGTATCAAGCTATATAGTACTATGCGTATGTGATACCAGCTTGTGCCATGAATGAACCCTCAATTTAAATCCTAGCTTTAGCTGCTGTTTCTGTCCCTCTACCATCTCTACACTCAACCATCCTCTAACACAATGGTTGGTTAAAAGACCGACTTGGGCATTGTCCCAAATGCAGTTTCCCAGTGCTATTTCCCCAGAGTGCCTGATTCAGGAATCTGAGGCTCAAGGGTCTGAATATTTAAGCGGCACCGCAAATTCATGTGGGTCCCGACTATAGTTTGCAAGCACTGATTAGACCTCCATTGTCTAGTTCACTCCTTCCTTGCTCCTTAGCTCAGCAGTCGCCCCTTGGTTTCTCTCAGCTTCTCAAGCAACCACTTCTCCTTCACGGTTAGCAGGTTCTCTATTACCGGATAAAATTAACTCAAAGGTTAGCAACTTAAAATAATGAAAATTATTATCTTAAAGTTTCAATGAGCTGGGAATTCAGGAGTCACTTTGCTGGTGGTTCTGTCTTGGAGTCTCCCGTTAAGCTGTTGACTGGGGCCAGAGTTGTATCTGAAGTCTAAATTGGGGAAATCTTCCAAACTCACTCATAGACTATTGACAGGCCTCAGTTCCTTGCCTCTTCCTGGCTTCTGGTGTTTGCCAGCAACCTTTGGTGTTCCTGCCTTGTAGTGTTCTAGTGTTCTCGTGTTCTAGTCACACGACTGTCTTCTCCTATGTGTCTTCACATCTTACCTCTACATGTGTCTGGGCTTAAATTTGTGTCCAAATTTCCCCTTTTATAAGGACACCAGTCATAGTAAATTGGGGTCCTCCCTAATGAGCTCATCCTAATTTAATTACCACTGTAGAAACCCTATTTCCAAATAAGGTCACATCTTGGGGACAGGGCTTAGGATTAGAGTAGATCTTTCTCAGGGGACACAATTCAACCCATAATACATAGCTTCTGCCATATGCTATTCACACAGCCCAGCCCTGAAACAATGTGGATGGGCACTGCACAGGCAAGAGGAGGCATGACTGAGGGTCACTGGAGACAAGCTACCCCAGTGCTTTTTTGCTTCATATAGAAAGTGAAGTTATGAGGTTACCATGGCTTCAGGCTCTCTCCCCTCCATCTCCAAATAACCTAAATCTCCACCCATCATCTCCGTGTCTATCTTCGAGAAGGAATTCAATTTCTTTCCAAAGCTTTGGTTCTTCTTATACCAGATTCCAGAATTTGCTCCAATAATTATTTTCTCCCCCCTTTTTCTATCTTAAATCCTACTCTCTCTACCACCTCTTTAGTTCTTACCTAACAAATATGCTGTTTCCCTCTTTGTAACTTCAGGAAAAACCCACACTCCTCTTAACCTAGGTCACATATCAAACTGCCCCATCTCCCCCTTCCAAAGCCAACATATTTCTTAACAGAGCAGTCTTTACACTCCAAAGTGCCACTCAAGCTCTCATTCACCTACAGCCACACTTCCACCCACCTCTGCACTGAAACTGCTCTCAACATACATTGCCAACCTGATTGCAAAACCAGTGGCCTCTTTACAATCTCCATCCTCCTTAATAAAAACTAACATTCATCTTTCCCCTACTATCTGCGAGGCATAGTGCTTAAGGTTTTAGATTTATTAGCCTACTAAGTCATTGACAACTCTCTAAAGTCAGTTCACACCCTCCTTTTACACACACACACACACACACACACACACGCCACACACACCCCAAAGCTCAGTCACACAGCTGGAAGTGGTAGAAACTTCCACTGGAGCCAGTGTGTCTTTTCTAACTCTGGTTCTAAAGGAT